ATACAGTGTTCGTACGTCCTAAACTTGAGTACTGCATACAAGCGGCTAGCCCATGCTTAAAAAAAGACAGTGAGCTTTTGGAAAAGGTTCAGAGAACAGCAACTAAGCTGATTCCCGTAATAACGAAGCTTCCGTATGATGCTCGACTGGCCAAGCTAAACCTATTCCCTTCAACATATCGTAGAACTAGAGGCGACGTGATTACTGTTTTCAAATTGCTTAGTGATAAATTTGCACCTGATATGCCCTCATTTTTCCTGTCTTCCAAAACAGAGAATTTACGAGGACACTCCAAAAAAGTTCACAAGCCCAGAACAAATTACTTGTCAGCTGATTATCGACTTTCCCACCGAATCATCAACGAGTGGAATTCATTACCTCAACACGTGGTTGAAGCTCCATCCGTAGTTTCTTTCAAAAGAAAGTTGGATCAACTGAGAGAACACAATTGCCAGGACTAACACAGGCCATCAAGCCTCCTGTCCTTTCCAAACTGAAACTGAAACTGATCTTCAGCAGTAATAGTACTGAGGTGAAAGTTAATGTTACTGAGATTATTCTTGCTAAGCCATTTATTATTTATGACTGGCGCCTGAAATATATTTGCAGTGTTAGAAAACTACTTATTAAGTAGTTCACAGATAACAAGTTGGTTAACATAGGCCACTCTATTGTATAGTATGGAATGGTTGCTGTAGTTTTAGTTACTTCCGACCCGCTTTCGAGCTACCCTCAACTTGCTAGTGTCCTTTTTAGCTGATTTTTCACATTATCAAGTAAATAGTTTATATAATACAGTGCGCCGAAATCTTTTGTTAGGAAACACCTGCTTTTTGTAGCTTAGCCCTGGCGCTTTGTTGATGCATGGAGTTATTGGTTTAAAAGGCATTTTGATGAATACAATAGTGTTTAATTTTGAATTCATGAGGCTATTAAATAAATAAATTTATCACTACAGCGACGACATGCTTCTTGCAAGTCGGTCTTATGACATTTTTATCAGCATGATCAATAGTACACAATAAGCGCTTACAGATATCATGCAATCCCACCAGACTTAGAAGGAAGCTATACAGAACAGCCAAAACGTTTTACAGCTGAATGTCCATGCAGATTTACCGGACACGTATTTGTGCGACGTAAGCGTTTAACAAATTTACGATTGTTATAAAGGAACGACTGAAAAACACGTGATATATGCTGCAAACTTAGCAATCTCGTGCCATTAAGTTTGTGTTCCGGTAGTAAAAATAAATTCCTTAGCTGTGTACTACAAACGTGAGGCTTAAAAATGTGGAAAAAGAGCGGCAAGCAAACTGGATACAAAACCTTAACAATACCAGCTGTTAAGAGTAGAACCGAAAAAGGCATGGTAAACCAGTAATAAAAACTCATGCCAGATGTAGTTAATCTGTAGTTTAATGGTCTATATATAAGGTGATGTGAATTAGGAAACAAGAAGCCCTGACAAACTACGAAGGCTATTTTTCGGGACGTTATTTCATTTTATTCAAAGCTTGTAAAACACTGACATTTATTTTTGTCCCTAATCTATTCTACAGAACATAAGCTTTCGTTCGATGTATAATTCACTGCCATACCTTTTTCTGTTCCGAAGCTATTGTAATCTAAACATATTATTTGGCACCTTATTTTCTACTCTAATTCCCAGCTTTGGACATAATTGTATTTTTCCTAATTATTGTACGTTGCGGTCGGGTTATTCACTTATTTATTCATGTACATTTTTACACTAATCTGAATCCAGTGAATCCATTGAGTTCAGTGGTCAGGGAAATAGATCGAGTAATGTTCCAGTTGTCTTGTCTTCTTTCGTTCGTGTGCTTGCCCACCAATCAGGTGACAGAATAGTTTTCTTCTCTCTACCCCATCTCGAACTCACTCGTACAAGTCTCAAGGTTAAGCCAATCAGCCTATCGTATCAAGGTCTTAGTCTAGATTAGACAAGTATCCTCGGCACCAAAGTGGGTAGACAAATCAAGGTCATAACATAAGGGCATGTAAAGGAATATCATAACTGTAATTAAGGCGATAAGTAACGTGATGAAATTGACGGCACATCAATAAAACTCACGAAAAACCAGTAATTTAATTTAAAATATTGGTGTTCGCGGTGTTTTATGCTATTCAAACTGGGTGATGGCTGACAACTCGTAACGACAAATTCATTGCGTTCAAGGGCATAATTACGGTCTGAAAGGCTTCACAATCTCTATCATGAAATTACGTAATGGTCACCAAGCGTTTATTGAGTTCTTCATGAAACGGTAGTGTACGAAGAATCGTCTTATGATCCTGTGATGAGCCCGGCGTGATGTCATGACCTCTGAAACAAAAGTGTTCGAAGCTTTATATACAAGTCAGTCAACAGTATCGTATAATCCAAATGTAAGTGGACACTGAGGAAATCACCAATGAGTTTAGTTCTTTTCGTCCTATATACATATGTCAGATGACCACTTCTTTTATGATAGGAAAATGATTTTAATTGTCTGTAAGAAGACATATGTTCAAGACATCAGAAAGCGGTAAACTCCTCTTTTTCAGGACAAACCGGTGAGTGCTTAGGGTCATCGGGGCCAACAGATAAGTAGTTAAACCGAATTTAGATAGGATACCGATTAATGACGGCACCAATTCCAGTTAACATTTATTTTGTAAGGGAGTTCATCTAGTATAGTTAAAGAGTACGCAGCTATGGTTTGTGCCATATATCATCTTTGGTTACCGAGTAAATCCCCGAGATAACAGGAAAGCATCGATAGTATTCGTAACTACAATATTTCATGAAAATGAAACAGACAGGGCGGTTATCGACAGGGAAGCCATTATATTATCTCACTAAAAGGGAAGGAAACCAGGAAACTATGTTATGGTGATTCCTGTTCGAAATCTGATATTGATACACAATATGTCACGCACGTAGCTCCCAACTGACTATTTGATCAAGATGACAAGCCTGGAAGACAAGGTCTATTGGGCTACCTAATAATATACATAAATACACATATATACACATTTCTACACTTAAAAAAGTGAATCCAATTTATAGGCCTGATATGTAGTTACCTTCCAGGTTATATCAGATTAGCACTGAGGATTCTTCTTAACTGGTCACATCTGGTTCGGTGAAAATATCAATGAGTAATATTCTTACGTTTGCTCCAGTTTTCAAAGATGGAGAGGATTCATCCTCATCAACCATTTATTACACGGACCAATTCAATTTATAGATAATTTAAATCTTAATGTGTTTTACTACCTTAAGCACAAAACCAAAAAATAATCAACAGCATATGGAAAACAGAAAGTTGGTATATAAATGGACGATCGTAAAAATCGAACAGAGTTTCAAAACTTCATCTAATATCTAGCTCTCAGCGAATGAAGTGCTGATATTCGGTTGAGGAAAACGAGAAGGCACAAAAAGTTTGAAAATGTTTATTTAATTATCGGCCGAACGATATGAAATTATTTCTAGGATTTAGCATAGCACTATCCTTTAATTCGGTAAGATAGAATTCACTTTTTAGGATATTCGTGCTAATTAACTATACACATACCTTGAGAATGATACTTGTGAATAAATTTCTTTGTATTCGTGTAAAACTAGTGTACTCTGAAATCATGGATAGCCGTTTCACTGTATGTTGAGACTGTTCAATAGCTTCAGCTTTAAACACGCTCTTTGAGTTATACCTAGGATCGAAACCTCACTCCTTGTGTTATGATTTCACAATCGAAGTCGAATCAGTAGTAACGTATGGTATCAAAAATTGCTGCGTCTAGAATGAATAGTCAGTTTTTCCTGGCGATTTGGTAATTTCTGCAGTAAAAATAGGCTCATGGTAAAGTCTGTCCCATTTAATTTATAGCGGCCGAACCAATGCCACCAAAATTCAGTAAATTTTCCCAGTTGTCTTTCTGTTGAGCTCTGTTATCAGAGTCCCCGGTCTGTTTGTGTTCAGCCTGCGCGCATCGCATACATCTCATCAATCTGCTTTTTGGCTCATTTTCATATTCGGCTGGCCTAGTGCGATGGAACACCAGAGTTTTATGAACGGTCAAAAGGTTGAAATTCGAACCCTGTGGGAAATGTTCAACGTGACGTTTTGGACAATACATGGTTGGGAGTAACCCACTATCTCGTGAAAGATCTCAAATGTTGATAAGGCTGTTTGCCCATGAATGTAAGACTAATCCAGTTGCTTAGTCGAATGCATTTACAGCAACACCAAGGGGTTGAAGATGACACAAGTATTTGTAGTTTGACAACACTTTAACCAGTAACACCTTCTATGATTGAATCGTCCCCACCCAGTGAAACCAAAAGTCAGAGGCGAGAAGGTTCAAAGATGTATTTGATAGGCTATCAATATATCGATCAGTGACTGATCTAAACTGGTTAGCGGTTGCAGGACAAGTTGAGCACGGCGTTCGCACTCGTGGTCGGGTGTGGATGATTGATTGAGCACCTTCAGCTAGGTGAGTCTATTAAAACTAATGTGGGAGAGTTATTTACCGCTACAAGGTATGTGCATTAGTATGTTGCCATGGCTGATTTCGAGACTCTGTCATCACATTGAGTGATTTTTTCTAATTTTCGTTCAGTTTCGTGCATTTTGCGTATTTGTGAAGTTGGTCTGTTACACGTCTCACAAGAAACGCCGTCTTTGCACTATTCCTGTATATTCAGTTTTTGTACCGAAACCAACACGTTTTCCTGCCCATAACCTGATAACTGCTGACTACAGCAACGTCAGTGTTCTGGATTAAATAGATATTTACCCAAATTACTGTTAAATTCACAAGGATTTATCCAATCGAGTGTCTATCCTACGTTTAGTGAACGATAGCTAAAAATTGGGACCCTTCTATAATACTAAAAAGTAGACGTACAAAACCATCTGGTATACACAAGTACCCGACGTAGGCACCGAATGATAAAAGCAATCGATGTCGTCCCGTCGCAATGATATTGTATACCCTGTGCGCGAATTACGATTTAAGCGGTACATTGCCGGGATGTCTATGTCGACGATACCTCCTCATCTTCGTACTCGACTTATTTCACATGGACAAAAAGTTTGTGAGCTTTACAAAGCAGCGCTGTACGATCTTAAGGCAAAGCATCGTGACGTGTAATTTTGTGATTATTTTTACTTGAGGTTTGGTAGTTTGAAGTGGCGTTATCATTCTGTTTTAATGCGAGCACGTTTTGAAGAAAACAGAAACATTAAGGATGGAATTTTGGCCAGGAAAATGCTGGAAGATGGATGGGCTGAACTAAAACAGATTGAGGCTCCTTACCCGTACAAATGTAATTACTGACTTATTATCTCCTTATAAATCTAGATCCTGATGCACCAGGGGGTGCTGCTTACGGAAGGGAAACTGTTTTTAGTGACTTTGTGAGTATTTTTTATTGTTGTTTGGCACATAATTTATCGCAAATGTTTAAATTTAGAATTTATGCCTGCCCTTCCGGTTTACCCAAAATGTATTTGCGTCTGTAGACATAGCTACCATCAAAAGCCTACTGATTCTATATTTCGAGCGTTCATTACATTATCTTCGTTAGGATTCGGCAAGAGCTGTGCATCACTTTAGTGTGTCAATTTCCTGATAATCGTGGAAAAACTAGCTAGGTTGATGGCAACAACAGTAACCATGGTTGTCCAAAGGTCTTAATAAAAAAAAGATTTTGAAAGTTAAGGCGGTAATATAGATATTTAGTATTTTAGGTAAATGTAGACTCCTTAATGCGACCGACCTTAAACATTATATATATGTCTTTTATTTGGTTGCTATATCTTTATATCCTAAAACATGTGGTAACCTAATGGCTAGAGCGCTCCATTTGTAGATGCCAGTTCCCGGGTTCGACTATCCTATTCTACCTTCGGCTTAGGCCAACAAGTAATATCATTAACCCTCATTTAGGCTGTTTCTTACACAAGTACCAAAGGAAGGGGTTAAATTACCATTATTTATTAAAGCTTAAGAAGTTCAGTAGATTTCCTCAGTTGTCTTTCTGTTGATCTCCGTTATCAGAGTCCCCCGGTCTGTTTGGAGTCAGCCTGCGTACATTGCATACATCTTATCAATCTGCTTTTTGGCTCACTTTCAGCTAACCTAGTGCGAGCTGGGTTAACTAAACGCTCAGCCACAGAAATGTACTGTTTTATGCCTAATTTTGTAGTAGAAGCGCTTAACTTTCGTTTTCGGAGCTACAATTGCCACTATCGTCAAATCAAATTATCCTGTTTGGGGGGTTTTGCTCACATGAATAGTAGTTACTAAAATACGTACTGCATACAATCATGATCAGTGGTTATCCACTGATGAGTGGCTTGAATATTAACCCCTTCATTTATGTAACGACTTTTTTGCTTAAAACACTCCCATGATGACGTGCGTATGTTTGTCATTTTGGAAGGTGGAAAAGATTTCTTTAGAGCCACTTTCAATCCGAACAGTAATTGATTCTTACAGAAACGTATTTGTGAAATTGATGGTTATCGAAGCAGATTTCATTTGCAATCCAGATAAACAGGACAAGTGCGTAGCAGGTTGCTGTACTGAAATCATAGTTATTTCCCAATTCAACAACAGCACAAAAGCTATCAACAAATGTATTCAAATGAACTCCAAGAACACATGAAAATAGTGTTCCTCAGATTTAGCGTAAGGTCAAGAAGATGAATCAATGTCACCTTAATAAACTGAATTGTTCCACACATGATCTACACTTCATGGTTTTTCCATCGTTAGAATCTCACCCCAGGACGTTGTCACAACGCTTAACTGACACTTCATGGACTGATCAAATTCCTTTACATGGTCACTTTTTTTGTTCTATAACCTAATCATTGATCAATGTGCTTTATTCATCAACCATTCTCAACTAATATTATTGTTACTTGGGATGCTTCAAGTACGTGGTTTAGTATTTTGAACCTCGTTTCTTCTGCCTTCAGTAATCGTTTCAGATGACCTAGCTAGTTACAAAAACAGATGAGTTTGAAATACTCTCCGTTTGCCACTCACTAATATATTTCGTTAATCATTTTGGTTTCTGTGTGATATGCGTGACTTCTATGCACCTATCATGGTTTCAATGGGTGACAAAACTATCACGACTAATCCGCCCTCTTGGATAAGGAACCTTGTTAATACACACTCCTTTCACTTTCGATTTTACTAAGTGGAGTCTTACTCCGTTGGTATTTATCTGTGATCCAAATATAAAATGTTTTATGATTGATCTGGATCATCGTCTCGATTGATCATAGTAATTGATGTAATTAAGCATTTTAACCCATTCATTTGTCTTGGAAGTTTCACTCATCACGACAAGTTGTTGGTTGACAAAATCACGACACGGATTCGGAAAATTCACTTGGTTTATGTCTACTCATGTCATACATGGCGTAGGCATGACATTCCTTTGTCAGCCAAGGTTCAATTAAGTTCTCCATCAGTTTTCCCTGTTGTAGTGTACGGCTAAAAAAAATCCCCTATGTAAATAGAAGATAAAATTAGACCTCAACCATTTGATCATAGGCCTTATCGAAACATTAACTATACTATGTGGAACAACAGAATGAGCAGTTCTGTGATTGAGCACAGGGTACCGGATAAAGATAGGCTGATAAGAATGTTAATTTTCGTCGACTGAGGTAAGCCAGACGTTTTTACGTATAAGCGGCCTAGGAGTGGATCGGGAAAAAGCTACAGGTGGCCAAACTAAAATGTGATATCCATGGCATCGTCAAAGATTAGACTGAGCCATATTGGTTGGTGCAGATCACTGATTTATGGCCCGTGTTAGCAGGAGATAGATTGGGTTAAAGCGTGTTCCATGCGGGATTATGTTTGAGCACACTATTTGGTCTATTTTTAGCCAATCAGCACTAGCGAATAATTGTGCTTTTCAATTCTACATAGTACTAATATTTTAACTGTACGCATTTATATTTGAGTACAAATCACACTTGTATGTGTAGAATACTTGTTATTACCTGATTGTGTAAACCGTAGTAGGCTAATTTGGGTCCGAATCCCTTATGAAATCGAATTCGCAGACCTATAGTTCACAGTTCCACCTACATATGGATATGTATTATAGTTTATCGTTACTTTTTGTTTTCTAAGTTTTAAAAAAATATAAAAGATTTAAGCTTGAAACCAGGTTTATGCGAGTAGAGTTTGAGTCCCAATCGAGATGTGAAAATTACAAATATTCCACGCTTGCGGGCGCTGAAGTGGGATACATGGGTTCACACCTATCAGATGATGGAGAGTGAGTACCTGACTTATTGGACTACCCTTCCATTTCCTCGATACAGGTTGTGAAGTTACCAACATCTAAACGGTTTTTCTAAAAATCTTTTTTGTTGTTGCTTAGATCAAGTGTTTTGTCGGATTTACTCTACAATTTTTTAATAAACATACAAAGTATCTGGTTTCATGGATTTATCACTGACCAAGTTACCGTCGATTTCCAATCTCTCTTTGACAGAACTATGACCTTTGGCATCCATTAGAAAAGAAGCAGTATCCTGACTTCTTTGCAAGACGGGAAAAGCGTAAAAAGGAATTTATCGAAGCCTGGGTCAAACGTTATGGTCCTGAAAATGAGAAAGTGTTTTAGTTGAATATGTAAACAAGAGATTTTCGTAGATTTACTTTGAAGTGATTATATCAAATGAATTTTTTGAAATCCTCTTAGTACTTTTAGAATCAAGTTTGTTACCTGAAGTTTTACATATTGTTTATGAGTTAGGATGGATGATTTCTTGTATTTACCACTTAAGGATTCGAAATGTTATTTAATAGTGGTATAATCCTTTTGCTAAATGAGAGGTATTTTTTGAATGTGTACAAACCAAGGTTGTGATTAATAAGTTTGACAAGATGGTGCTCTTCATTCAATCTGTCTATAGTTTGCCGGTTGTAGGTAACTTAACGACTAATTGTAAGTAAATCTGTTATTTAGTTAGGTAGTCAGTAATATGGAAATAAAATGTGATTTGTTTCGAAGCAACTTATAAAACATCACATTGAGATGCGCACATACTACGATAATTTTTTGGCAGTAAAGGAAGATATCTTGCAGCTTTTTTAGATTGGGGGTTAGCAAAACATTTAAATCCATGCTGATATTCTACTGAAAAATGTTATGTGGTCGTTATAGGAATGTTATTTTTTGAAATCTCTGACTAATTGTTACGTGCCACTCGTCTTCGAACTCAAACGACTTATGCAACTACTGCGGAATTGTAAATTCAGAATTATTTGTGCGAAAGATAATTGTAGGTATAATGTGGATCTTCACATTTATTTGATTGATGCGTAAGTTCTTGCAATGGTAATTTATATAAGCTATTTTTCAAAGTCGTAGAGTACAGAGAGGGCCACCGCTAAATGTACACGCATGTTGTTTTGGCGATGAACATCGGAACTGCGATACAAGTGATCCAAGTTGAGACAAACCAATTCAATAACATACGAAGATTAAGCAATGATTGTGTAATAAAAGGAGGAAAGAGTCTTTTCTCAAGCAAACAAACACATAATTTAGATTCTACCATAATCTTACAAGATAATTTCGCCATTCAGTTCTGTTGTTTATTGAGAAATATTTTATATCAGAAGTGGTTTTGTGGAGATTGTAGTAATTTCAGTGGTTAAGATCATGAGTCAGTCAACTGACTCATGATCTTAACCACTGAAATACTTTATCGTCTATCAAAAGTCTTGTACCGGATTGACTTAAGTAGAGAATGCATTATTCAATATCAGTAGTTTAGATATATATAGGCACATTTACTAGTTAAGAACAATAACAAATTATTCACATGGTTAAGTACCTCAGGCCATAGTGGAAAAATGTGGAGCAATGGCTTAGTAGTTGAAACCCTAGACTCTCAAGCCTTAGGTTGCAGGTCCACGTCTCGGGTTACTTATGATAAAGGTAAGTGTCAAAGCTAAGTAAAAGACCCAGAATACGAGTTGTTTTTTTACAGAAGGTAAACAGTCTTTATTTCTAATAACTGGAGAGGGTTTATAATAAATATCTACCAGAAGAATCATGTATTTGTTAAACAGAATAAACTAGACACTCAGGATTATTAACATGTATATCCAAATGTATTAACGGAAGACATCAATGATGAAATGTACAACTTTTGTTCCGTTAATTGATTAAATTTAGTCGGATGATAACATGTACTTCACAACAATACGCTAGGTGATATTTCAAATATAAGACCAATATTTATTGTAGTTTTGGCGACACTTAGTGGTGTTAATATGTTTCAAAGTACTGTTGGTAACTCTTATATTACTTCTATGGTTAGTGGTAACATTTCGTCTGTAGAATACTCCAGTATCTTAGTTAGGACGTTTATAGCCCATAATGGTTTTATTGTTTCTATGGGGAGATATTTTGGCATGTAGTCGTAAACTGTCGAATCTTTCTTACATAACTTTGAGACAGTTTGTTTTTATTGCAGTATTCTACATATTTGATTGTTCCTTTTCCTTGGTATAATAGACAGTTCCTAGAAGCTAGTTTCTGTAGGCCCAACCGGTCGTTGCTCATTTAGTTTTCTAATTAACGATATGAAATTATTTCTAGGATTTAGCATAGCACTATCCTTTAATTCGGTAAGATAGAATTCACTTTTTAGGATATTCGTACTAATTAACTATACACATACCTTGAGAATGATACTTGTGAATAAATTTCTTTGTATTCGTGTAAAACTAGTGTACTCTGAAATCATGGATAGCCGTTTCACTGTATGTTGAGACTGTTCAATAGCTTCAGCTTTAAACACGCTCTTTGAGTTATACCTAGGATCGAAACCTCACTCCTTGTGTTATGATTTCACAATCGAAGTCGAATCAGTAGTAACGTATGGTATCAAAAATTGCTGCGTCTAGAATGAATAGTCAGTTTTTCCTGGCGATTTGGTAATTTCTGCAGTAAAAATAGGCTCATGGTAAAGTCTGTCCCATTTAATTTATAGCGGCCGAACCAATGCCACCAAGAATGTTAATATCCATAGTTTGACGATATTTTTACGAACTAAAACCCTCTTTTCTAAATGTTATGTTTAGAGATTTGTTTTTGTTAACATTTCCAAACGTAGAAATATCGGTTTCGCACAGAGTTTAGGGTTTCATCTTCCCACAGACTATAGTTAATTTATGTTATAGGACTAAACGAAATTACATTATTGATCGGGTTATTACAAAATAGTACACTATTTTCACCGTTCTGCTGGCATCCAGGAATTAAGATTTATATCTTCTAATATCTACATAGTAGAGTAACTTTCGTTTAAAATCCTTTTATTGATGAATAAAAAGGGTCAAGGATATCTACATAAGAAAAAAAAGTAACTTACATCCAATCAAAATAGGACTCTAAAAGTGTGACATCTGACATTGTAAAACAACAATTACACATACTTATTGTGGTAGGAAATTATCAAGTAATTATTAAATGCAAAAAAGTTAGACGGTGGAACAGAGTAGGCAAATAATTGATAAGTACTTCGTTGATACAGATATAAATAATGAACCTTAAGTAATAAATTTTCTGTGAATCACCGCAGTAACTTTTTAAAATACTTACTGTATGTCAGACTTTCGTGGTTTTTGGGAATAGTTTTCTATCTCAGCAATCTGTTTTTACCATCACACAGATAGCATGTTTGCTGAAAAGGAAGTTAATGAAATAGTTTGTCACAAGTAAATTTATTTTGAAATATATATGACAATGTTTTTTTAATTGCTACTTCAAAAGGAACTCATGCAAGCAATAGAAAACACACACAATACTGATACAGAAAATAAGACTAATCTGTCAGTTTATTCTCATTTTCTATCAAATTATATTTGTTTCATTCTGTTCGTCCGACTGGATTAGTTCACTTCGTTTTTTATGTTAATTTTAGCTACATCTGTAAAAAGGAAAAAAGCTTCCAGTGATTCAAACGCAATAAACATTGTAGAAAAATTGATGGTTCGTTGGTAAATGATGAGGTAATTTAGACTACCTAAACCGTAGGGTTCGGATTCATGAGACTGGATGGAGCCCAAGGTAATTGGTTTAGCTATATCATCGATTAGTTGTAAGGACCAAGTGATCTAACTTTCCAACTTGATGCAATCAACTATTTAGTATGGTCGTCATTTCGTGACTGCTTCAATGTTTATCATTTACCACCAGAAATTCCGGAAATTCATCTAATGTCTATCTGTCAACTAACGAAGTACTACCATTCGGTTAAGTGCTTCGTGAAGACACGAATAGTTTGAAAGTTTATTTTATTACTGGCTGGTCTCAACTTAAACCCCAAGTCTATAGGCGTTCTGCTGATTACGTAAGCCTGGAGGTATTGGTTGCACTTTGTATGAGATTCCGGGCACTTGATTCCGTGAACTCATACACTGGAGAGGTATAGCAAACACGTTCTTTATGATCTATAATAATCCTGAAGCTAATATTAAGTACTGATAAGAAAATAACATCCGAGTATTATATTTCATCCGCTTAACTGTATTCTAGATAACAAATATTTTAACCAGTTACTTTTTTTCAAAATTCTGCAAATTTAGCTCAATTCATTTATTGTCACGATGAAAAGACCTTTGGCTATGGAGTCGTGTTGTTGTAATTGATTACAGAAGTCTTGTTGGTTAAGTAAATTAATAATAATATATGATTTATAAAAGATCCAAAATATCTTTGGTGACTGTGATCATCATCCTTCTTAAATAAAACTATGGTTATTGGATTTAAACTATAAGTGAGAATATGCAAGTAAATATGATGTATAAGTAAATTATCGGTGAACTTAACTAATTGCCAGTGTTTACGTGATGATTATGATAGAAACCTGCCAGATAGCTTAAATGAAGTTCTCAGTGCAAAATATCTTCTTTTAGGAAGCACATACCCCGTAAATGGATCGAAAAATGGTGGAAGATACTTGATAACGCATAGGAATTGAAATATATGAGCAGCGAATTCATTCAATTCGTCCTATATCCAGTGGGATAGTGTTACACTTCCGTTCAGATGGTTTATGGTCCGGAAATATGGGTTAGTGATATATGTAAATGAGCTAAAGTGTTGTGTGGTATTAGCATGGAGTCTAAACATTAGAAATAGTTGAAAACGAAAAAGAGGTGAGTTTGAGCTAACCGGTTTTCTGATTTACAGAAGATATACTTGGATAATTGTTGACTTGTCAAAGTGCATACAATCTCTAAGTCTTCGGGTACATAGTGAAAATGTACAGTAAAAATTTGGTTCATCATACCGGTCTTCAATTTTTACCTTTTACTATCGTTCCGGAAAAGAAATAAAGTTAGATGGAATTGTAAAATACGTTTATTGTTGCACATGCAAGAAAACAGTGTGGGTAAGATCGGTGCATACGGGTTTTTATACTATGTGAAAAAGAGAAATCGAACAAAAAAAAGATTTCCGGGGTTACTTTTCATAAAAGTATTCAAACATATGAGCATGGTTAAAGCATTTTGAGTTTTGTTATTTTTATTAAAAGAAATTTATAGGCATCTTAAAGAAATTCTTTTATAGCCTTTTTTGTCTTTGGCGAAATACAAATTGATAAGGCAACTAATCGGTTGGAGAACACGGAAAGTTAAGTAAATAGAAATGAATTGAGAAAGTGTTTTACATTTGGAAGTGGTCATATATACATAGAATATTACTGTTCTTCCGGAATGGGTAGCTCAAACCAAGACATCACATATCATTGAATATCAGGGGCATATTGAAAATAATATTATATGCAAACCAATGTTGTGAATTATAGATCATGCCAGTAAAAATGGCGTGTACCCGTCTGGTAGAAATATGTTATATATATAAACATTAGTTACATGTTGCATGTCAATTTATAAGTAGC